GGGGCTCTGTAGGGAACAAGACTTCCTCAGGGGCTAGTCTGGCCTCCCGAGGCACGTTGCAGGCACAGAATGTCAACCACCTACTCCGGTAATAAATACACACTGGTTAGTCTCTGAACGCCTCGAATCTTTAGCCAGTGAACTAATTCAACGGGGTTTTACATCCCTAGAATCCACCATAATAAAGTCTAGTTCAGACCGGGGCTCTGTAGGGAACAAGACTTCCTCAGGGGCTAGTCTGGCCTCCCGAGGCACGTTGCAGGCACAGAATGTCAACCACCTACTCCGGTAATAAATACACACTGGTTAGTCTCTGAACGCCTCGAATCTTTAGCCAGTGAACTAATTCAACGGGGTTTTACATCCCTAGAATCCACCATAATAAAGTCTAGTTCAGACCATCTAGGTTTATCGGTGAATTCAAGTTTCTACACATAACTTCCCCCCTTGCTGCTATCAAAGGCAGCAAAGGAAGGGGAGGCAGGAGCCGGTGCCCACGGGGAGCCAGCTACCTGCCCTCCTCCCCCAGAGGTAAATGTAACCGCTAATATTTCAAGTGGTTACACATTTACACAAATATCCAATAATGGGTTAACGTCCCTAGTGGTTATTTCTGAATAATAAAGTAGATCAACTTTGCAGTGTGTCATTCTTCAAGACGCTCTATATGCCTTTTTGTATAAGTGGGATTTAACAAGTAAATTGCTGTTTGTTATGTTGAATGTTTCGGGGGAGGGGGAGTTTAGCTAGTCTGTATGGCTTGTTTAATTAGGTAACTTGGTTTAGAATCTGTCACCCAAGTATACAGTACAGGAAATCTAGTGTTGCCAGTTGCCACTGACTGTTATTTTTTTATTTTATATTACATAATACATGCTCCTTATTTTAGAACATCGTGGTAACAGACCATAATGGTGATGCCATAAGTCTATTCCCTATTTCATTTCAGCCCATCTCAGCTTTCACAAAGTTACCTCATCCTATACTTGTTTTCTATGGGGCTTTCTCCAAAATTAAGTGCACTGTAAGCATAGTCAGGGCATCACTAACACAACAACATTATTTTGAAATAGCGTAGTCTGTATCTATATAGCAGGCAGTTATTTTGAAATACTGTCAAGCTGAAGGACTTCTTACTCCAACTTCTGTAATCCTCTTTGTATGAGGAGTAAGGGAAGTTGGAGGAAGAGTGCTCTATTTTGAAATAAGTGCTGTGTAGACGCTCCCAATTTTGAAATAAGCTATGCAATTTGCGTATCTTAATTTGAGTTAAGCCCTGCTGTGTAGATGCATGCTCAGTCTTAGGGGTTTTTGGTAACTTGGAAACAGATCTGCATCATAATGACAGTGGGGGTGGAGCAAAGGAGAGCTAGTTATAGAAGTTTTAAGGAAATTGTAAATTTAGTGTTCCAAGGGCTTGTCTGTTAGAGTTAATAAACTTTGAATTTTTTTGGTAAGTTAAGGACAGCCAGCAATTCAGGAGGGTGCTATAATTGTAAATGTGAAACATTTATGTAACATTTAAGGTTTAATTTAATAAAATATAAGTGGTGTATTTGTGTGTATGATTTAATTCTTACCATTCCTAATGTACTGCAGCTGCAGTTTGACACAGGTAATGAGTATTTTGCAGTATTTCCTACCTCAGTCAGAATCAAGTTATCTAAAAAATGTTGTAGACTGCTGTTCTGATGTGTAAATTAACATTTTTTAGTGATCAGATTTAGTTAATTGTTTGACAGAATGAGTGAAGAAGTATCAGTGGGAAACTTGATGTAAATAGATTTTTGGTGTTATTTTAAATCTCCTTGATTTAAATCAATCCACCCTGAATATGCCCTAAGCAATATTGAATGTACTGTCTTAAACTCTGAAAGATGATGTACTCTGGCCTTTATTAACTTTGTCTTCACTGTAATGACACATGTTTTTAGACCAAAAAAATTTAAGAATGCCCACAGAAGGACATGCCCAGGCATGTTCAGCTCTAACACAGCAGATTGTGTGCATGCCAATGAAGAAAAGGACATAGATGAAATTCGTAAATCTTTTGGAACATTTTTTTAGTGCACTATTTACTCTACATTGCCTGAAGAAATCAAGAGTACAGATCTTTTCTGTGAAAAAGGGGCTCAGAGTTGGTTGCCAAAACTGATGAGCAGACCTTTGTTCTACAGCCTTAAGTCAGCAGTGAACTGAAATTAATGTTTCTGTTCAGCTAACTGCTTGATGGATAAAGTTCCTGTTGGACTCCTAACCAGTGGCACAGTACACTCACACTTTGACTCTGGGCAAAATTCTACTTGTGAAAGTCAGTGACAAAACTCAGATCAGGTTCAGAATTTAGATCTATGAAATCTTTTTTGGTTACATCTCAGATGTCTCTCTTGGTTTTGAGACAATGTGTTGTGGCTATTACCCATCTCAGAGACTGGAAAGGAAACATTTGGTTGTGATAGTAATTATTTGGTGATTTCCCCTACCCCACATGGGATTTTATATTGACTGACTAAAAGTTGCCAATATATTTTCCTCTCTATTGCCATTTGGCAAACACATCTTTCCTTTTTGATATTTCAAAGGGTATTGAAACAGCTAAGTCTGCTCTCTAGTTTTCACTTTTTCAGTCTAATATGTTGCTGAGAAGTAGTAGTGGTAGTTTAACTGTACTAAGTAGCCTATCTATCCAGTTGCCATATTTCAACTCTTTTTTTTTTTTTGCAGTGTCCATGGGGAACCCCTAAAACTGCAATAGTATCATGTTCTCTTGCTGATGTGATGAGTGAACAGTTGGCAAAAGAATTGCAACTGGAAGAAGAAAAAGTTGCTTTTCCTGAGGTGGTTACGTAAGTTAAACACCCTTAGCCATAAATCCTGGGTATGATAACTTCTCCAGAAATGTACTGTGAAAACCCCTATATTGGTGCTTTTCTGATGTATGAATCACGTGGGTCTCTTCATGAGAGATCCTCTCATAGATCTCATTCTCTCCCAAATTCATATTTCTTTCCTAACTGTTCACTTTCATGGAGAGGGCTCTTCAGACTAGTGATTTTCTACCAGATTTACACAAAGGTCTTTCAGGGATATATCATCTCATGTAGATAGATATCTGCCTAGTTTTACAAACAGCTACATTAAAAAGCATTAGCAAAGTCAGCACAAACTAAAATTTTATATAAACAAAATAAGCAATATTACAGTAATAGTGTGCTCTGACACTTTAATATTTTTAGGTGTGATTTTATAAACCAAGTAAGTATTTTTAAATGAGATGAATCTTGGGGTATGTAAGACAAATCAGACTCCTGAAGGGGACCTAGTAGTCTGGAAAAAGTCAACCATTGGGCATCTATGAACCATAGTTCAGGAACTATTGCTATAGAACACTATTTTCTTTTGTCACTTCCAAAGAGAAGCTTACTGATGACAAATTACAAAATGGAAAAACTTATTATTATTTTGTATTGCCATAGTTCCTAGGAGCCATAGTCATCGACACTGACATACTAGGCATTGTATAAACATAGAACAAAAAGACAGTCCCTGCCCCAAAGATACATCTTTAGGCTTTTTCTGAAGCAGAGTAATATAGTTCTGGTGTCTCAAGTGCAGTACATTTTCTGCTGTCTGCTGGAGGACTTAACCAACCTCTTAAAGTCACACTCCAATATTTCTAATGCAAGTATAAGTGAATACAGGCAGTCCCCGACTTACGCGGATCCGACTTATGTCGGATCAGCAGTTACGAACGGAGCTCGCCCCGGAGGACACGGACTGCGGGACCTCGCGGTCCTACCGCCCGTGTACTCCTGGGCTTTCTCCGCGTCTCCCTGGTCTGCAGACCAGGAAGACGCGGAGCAAAGCTGCGGAGGGGCTCGGGCAGTCTTGGGGAAGCCGGCAGCAGAGCATCCCAGGGGCGCCTGGGCTGCCCCGCTGCCCGAGCCCCCCTGCGCTTTGCAAAGCCTCTGGGGAAGCCGGCAGCGGGACAGGCCAGACGCCCCGCG